TCTTACAAACACACACACACACACACACACACGCACACACACACACACACACACACACACACAAAGAAACAGTATAGTGCATGTGAAACACTTACCTTCTCTCTCTCTCCAGGGTTCTCGGTCCAGCTTTCATGTGCACAGCTGCTCACCTTATAGCCAGCAGTATACCCCCGGCGGCCCCCCTCTGCCCCGGACCGTCTGCAGGGTCCCACTGGACACACAGGCTCTCATACAGGTACTGAACATCATACATTATTCAGCAGCTCAGAGAGAGACCGGCACTCATCTCTCTCTCTCTCTCTCTCTCTCTCTCCGGTGCGGTGAGTCTGTAGGTGGGCTGCCGCTCACTGCTGCTGTTTATATATATGTGTGTTTTATCTGGACACTTTAGCTTTTAATTAGAGGACAATGAAGAGACACATGAAAGTCGAGTAGGTAGCAGAACGTGATTCAGGCTTGAACCTGAGTGTCCGTGAGCCAACTGCTCCTTCACTGCACCACGGTTTGTAAACCAGGACTCAACCATAAGGATGTTGTTTTTTTCGTCAGGCTAGTCGTTGTTATTTCCACATGCCCCACAAAAAAATGTTTTAAACCTAGAAATGCATTTTTGTATTTTCTAGAAATTTACATAAAATATTTTAATAAAATATAAAATTTTATTTTATTTTTTATTTTAATATTGATTTAAATGTAATGCATTTACGTTTTAAATTTAATAAAGAAAAATAATTTATGCATAGAGTTAATTTCTGATTGTTGTTAGCCAACTAGATCGCTTTATTTTGGTGAAAAATCAACCAAATTTGCAATTACAATGTAGAATGCATCACATAAAAACAAAACGGAAAGTGACTTTTTCTCCAGTACATCATCTTTATCCATGAGCTCTGATACTGAAGCATTAGCTCAATATTCTGTGCGAAATGTTAAATTTTAAACGGCCATATAAAGTGAAATGACTCTGAATCTAACGTTTTTGAAGATTCTTTTTTTAATCTTTTAGTAAATAACTTCCAGATGTGTGATGAGGTAAAGGTGACCTATCAGTTAGTTGTTGTACTTCAGATCTATTATGTCTCTTCAAACTAGATTTCTACTTTTTCTGAAAAGTAAGAATGCCAAACTCTGCGACACGATGTGAGGGTTTTTGCGAGTGTCGTTAGGTCTTAACTATGCGGTTGCCACGGTGTTTTGGTGGTTGTTAGGTGATTTTTTTTTCTGTCTTGTGTGATATTCTGTCGGGTTTGTCCTTCAGTGCAAGTGTGTTTTTTATCATCATATCACGAGGAGCTCTAGTACTAGTGATGTTTGACTTCAGCTCACTACAAAAATCTACATCTTCAGCATGTTATGTTGAGCTGTGAGCTCTTCCGTTTGTTTTCATAAAGAGAGCACTTATTCAGAGATCTCCTGACGTGTAGCTCAGATGTTCAGCTGGTCAGATGTATACATTGGCACGCAGCAGGAGATGGTTCTCCAGGATGACCGCGGTGCAGCACACGAGGTCAGAGCACTTACAGCACAGCAGACTGATGCACGGTGTGTGACGGGGGGTCAGCTATTAGCATTCGGGTCTCTACTGTCTCAACACACAAACAGAACGAGCTTATCACTCATATAGTCGTCCCTTTCAATGCTATATCCTGTCTAACACATGACTGCAAATGCATACTTCAGTGTAGTTTTACATACTCCAAAAAATATGTACTGCTGATAAAGTGCTTCTGAGTATGTACTAAGGCACATTGGCACGTCATGAAATCGCGTCTTGATACCACAGAGCTCTTTGTTGCGTGCTGTTTGTGTTTGCACGTAAGTTTTAGCTTGCTGTTAAATTCATTATTGTGAAATACTGATTGTTACAAACTTACCATTGCACAAGGGATTGTGGGTATTATTTGCCTAAAAATATATAATTTGAAAATCCACTGTGAATAATTTGACATCTGGACAACTTTATCTTTGTATTTTTAATGTGCCATTCAAAAGTTTGGGTTTCAGTGAGTTTTTTTATTTACACTTTTTTTATTTTTTTTAAAGAAATGAATACTGTAATTCAGCATTGACACATTAAATTGAACAAAATGTTACAAAGGACTTCTATTTCAAATAAATGCTTCTCTTTTGAACTTTCAGTTCATCTGTGAATCCTGAAAAATAAAATGTATCACAGTTTCCACAAAACTATGGAGCAGCGCAACTGTTTTCAACATTGATAATAATCAGAAATGTGTCTCGAGCAGCAGATCAGCATATTATACTGATTTCTGAAGATCATGTGACACTGAAGACTGGAGGAATGATGCTGAAAATACAGCTGCGCATCACAGAAATATATTACACTTTAACATATACTCACATAGAAAAGTTTTTAATTGTAATAATATTTCATAATATTACTGTGTTTACAGCATTTATGTTAATCACATATGTATTTTTGGTGAGCAGAACATACATAATAAAAAAAAAAAAAACGTACCAACCCCAAACTTTTAAATGGATGCGCTAAACCTGATCTGATATACTTTTTAGGCTAGTATTTGAATGGGGCTGCAGTCCAGAGGGTTGGGTTTGGCTGATTATCTTCAGCAATTAGTATGTGGGCAAGTTTCTCCAATAGTAGATGTTTTATTATTGCCCAGTGTGTTTGCTCTTATTTTTCAACATATTGCTATAGTTTTTGGTTCCAAAAAATAAAAATAATGAATGAGAATACTAACGGATCGCTCAGATAGTATGCTATAGTGTGCAGTATTCAGTGATTTAATAAGGTTGTCATTTGTTTCATAACGCATGACTCAGTCGTATAGTTGTCCTCTCCAATACCTGACCTTTTCATTGTCTAATGGTCACTTGGACTCTTAGATGTGTGGTGAACAGGACTACATCAGAGCACACGTGTGTGTGTGTGTGTGTTGTAAACTCAGACACGGAGAGAATGAAGAGCAGGTGTGAAAAGACTCCAGTCACTGTATGGGAGCCGACCTGCCGAAGCGCTCGTCTCTTCTCACGCTCTTCACACCCTCAAACACCAGGGGAAGAGACGAGGAGAGCACAAGTGTGGAAAGGAAGAGATAGTCATAATTGAACTGGGAGGACGCAGGAGATGCTAAATATAACGGCGCATGAGTGTATTTAACACACGTCTGCATGTCGAGGGCAGACAGGTGCGTCTGCAGTAACAGACGTGAGCTGATTGCGTGTTATTCAGAGACCTCTTGTGATCATTTGAGTTTTGTGTGTGTGTGTGTGTGTGTGTGTGTGTGTGTGTGTGAGAAGTATTGTTCCATAATGTTAAATTGACTTTCAGAGATACTTTTGAGAAGTCTATTTTAAATTGTTTTAAATAACATTTATCTAATTCTTATTGTTGAATCAGAATTAAAGAATTACACTACAAGTATTACACTACAAGAAATACACTATATCACAGTTACATAATAAGAATTATACAAGAACATCACTACACTACAATTACACTACAAGAATTACACTACACAAACTGAACTATACTGCAATTACACTACAAGAATTACACTACACAAACTGAACTATACTGCAATTACACTACAAGAATTACACTACACAAACTGAACTATACTGCAATTACACTACAAGAATTACACTACACTACAAGAACTACACTATACTACAATTACACTACAGGAATTATACTATAGTTATACTACAAGAATAACAATACACTACAAGAACTACACTATACGAATTATACTACAAGAAGTACATTATCTACAATTACACTTAAATAATTATACTACAATTAACTACAGGAATTTTACAATGGTAATTGTAGTATAATTACAAGAATTATACTACAATTACACTACAAGAATTACATGAGCTACAATGTACTACGATTACAAGAACTGCACTTCACTACACTAAAATAATTGCAGTACACTACAAGAATTATACTACAATTAAACTTCAAGAATCATGCTACAAAACTGGGCTATACTACAGTTACACTACAATAATTATATTACAAGAATTTCACTGCAAGAATTAAGTTATATTAATTATACTAGAAGAGTTCATTTGTTTCACTGCAGGGCCAGTAAAAGCAAACAGGTGGTTTAAAATGTTGAAAACAAGTGCAACTAGCTACAGGACATATAAAACATATACTTTCCCATATACAAATATGTAAATTTGCTCACACTTTATTTTAATGTGTCCTTGTTGCAGTTTAATTACACAAAGAAGCACTGAGCTGAAGTAATGAACTTAATATAGGTTTTTACTATAGTAAATACATGTAACATGCAGCAAGGACACATTAAAATGCAGTGTTGCTGTAGAGTTTTACCTAAAATCTTGATATTGATGGCAAAAAGTTTTTGGACATCACCTTCCCCTCATAATAACAACATAATTATAAGATCATTAGTAATAGCGATACTGCACTGTTGCATTCGATAAAATTACCTTATTCATGTTTAATTGATTATTATTGTTATTTAAGTCTGTGTTTCTATCTGTAACAGTGGCGGTTGTATGTTTGTGATGTGTTCAGACCGCCTGTGTGTGCAGAATGTGTTCCTCAAACGTTTGGATGAAGAGCCCCTGCAAAGCCGCTTCTCTCTCTGTTGAACAAAGCCGTTCTTACCAGCTCAGGGCGCCTATCGATTTATTAAAGTCAAAGCGGCCACAGGGACGTCTGTACCTACGTGAAGTTTTCTTTTCTACCTTTGCAAAGTCGTTCCTCTCAGATCTGAGGTTAGTCTTTCCTTGTCTCCTCCCGTGAAGAAACTTTAACGCGCGGGACAACTTTGAAAAGCAGGCCGCAGAAGATTGCTCTGGGCTGTGGCAGACTTTGAAGAATTTATTTACCAATGAAAAGGAAGAAAAATAAAATCAATGGTGACACCCTCACAGTCAGGCAGACTCTCTCAGACCAAAGAGAACGAGAAAAAAACATAATCATAAAACCAAAACAAAGACGGCCGCTGGAATCATCTTCCACACATTTACAACGTTTCTAACAACTTACAGATACAAACTACTCTGGATCTCTCCCCCGCATTACAAACACGTTCCCTGTTTGGTCAGAATTACTAAACATGGTGAGATAATGATCTTTCAGCACTTATTCATTCTCATCTCATCTCATTATTAATGGTGATTTTTCATTAGAAAAATTATTCAGTTCTTAGATAATTCATTTGTTTATCGTTACTGTAATGCAATAAAAAAGTACAGTGATTTAAAACAGCATATCGTACATACAACCAATACTACGGCAATGCATTATTTGATATAATTTGCATCGTATGACATTCAGACTGAAATGCTGCAATGTCCAGGTACATTTGTGGCTGCTGTATCATGCACCGGCATTGAAAGCCTTGAAATGTTAGGTCTGGAAAAGTCGATAAGAAGATCTTTGTCCAATAATCATAATATACTGAACGAATCTTGGAAGTCGTGGAATTTCATTGATCCAAAATATTGATCTAAACACCATATTTTCAAACACAAAACATGGTATTACAAAGCATTTTCGGTGGATTTTTTATATTTTTTATGGTAATACTATGGTATTTTTGTGACTTCAGAGGAGAGTTGACTGGCTGAAGTCTTTGATTTTTCCAGCAGCTCATTACTTTTGATAACCTTTCTTCAGTCGGTCCGGTGGCGTCCGTCTCTTTGAGGTGTTTCAGCACCACAGGTGAGTTTCTAGATCATCCGTTCAGGTGGAGGCCGAGCTTTAATGCTTTAAATGCAGCTCAGAATGAAAGAATGGTGTGCATCAAAGCAGCGGCGCGCGGCGAGGAGTCTGATTATGTTTGTGGTTCAGGTTGAACGTGTGCGCAGTCAAAGAGAGCAAACAGGAGATTAATGAGAGCGCGCGGCGCTTTGTGTTCCCACCTCAGTCTAAAGCAGGATATTTCTGTCAACTGATAATTACTGTCAGATGGCTGCAGCACCTCTCCCAGAGATGACAGGAGCGAGGGAGGAAGGGAGAGACGCGAGTGCGCTCACGGTGTTATTCTGTCACACCTGATGTCGCTGGAGTGAGTTTTTTTCCGCCTGGCGCGTGAGGTAGAGCTGGCGCTCACTTTCACTCATCTCCAGTCGAAGTCAATTAAACTTTGATTTAAACTAAACAAATACCATCGTCATCATCACCGCCTCACTTTAAACCAGATGTGCGAGCTGTGAGGTGTCATTTGGGAACGATGAGGAATAATGCACTCTATATGAATGCAGCAGAAGTTCCTCGTGTTTCTGCTGTAGGTCTGAGGAGAGGGTTTTTGTGGGAGATTTCAAATATATGAGATCTGAGGTGAAAGGAGGAAGATTGGAGGCTGAGGCACAAAATTATGAAAAGATGTGTCCCTGGAGCAGAAAAGCAGTGTTGAGTCGCTGGGGGATATTTGTAGCAATAGCCAACAATACATTGTGTGGGTCAACATTATTGATTTTTCTTTTATGCCAAAAATCATTAGGATATTAAGTAAAGATCATGTTCCATGAAGATATTTTGTAAAGTTCCTACTGTAAATACATCAAAACTTAATTGTTGATTAGTAATATGCATTGCTAAGAACTTCATTTGGACAACTTTAAAGATGATTTTCTCAATATTTTGATTTTTTTGCACCCTCAGATTCCAGATTTTCAAATAGTTGCATCTCAGCCAAATATTATTTATTAGATACAAACCTTACATCAATGGAAAGCTTATTTATTCAGCTTTCAGATGAGGCATGCATCTCAATTTTGTATAACTGGTTTTCACAGTTTCACACTGGTCACATATAAAGATAATTTATTTATTGGATTTTAATCGCTATTGTATTTAATTTGTATTTATTAAATTTGTTTTTGTTCTCAGTTTTTCAGTATATAAAATAATTTATTGCACAAAAGATCAAAATGTATGAACCTTTACATCTGTAAAAAATATTCATCTAATAAACTGTTTAAATATAATGATTAAAATAACTTAAATCATGCCAACTAATAAATTAGCACATGTTGTGGTCGGCATAAACCATCGTTATATCCTTATTCCAAGTCACCTCATATTAAATGTGGTTTTGGTTTTATTTATTCATTTATTTAATGAAAGTGTAAATGAAAAAGTGAAATTAATTTGTGCTAAAATATATTTGAGTTGAAATATTTGACCTTTGACATCACCACACATTTCTAACTAAAGATATGGATAGTGACTTCTCCTTGTTTGTTGACACTGATGGCTAATGTTTGCAGATATTAGAGGTATCAGTGGGGTTACTGTGAGGGAAGTAGTTCAGTAGTTGCTCTCTTCACCCGGTTTGTCCCGTCGTTCTGCGCTGAACGCAGCGAATGGCTCTTATTTCCTGCATGAGCGCTCTGGGCTCTCTCCGGGTGTGACATGACCCCTGAAGCCCCAAAAACCAATCGATAAGACATTTCCTCTGACAGCAGCTCTGCTCCAAAATCTAGTGCACTTCCATGCTGCCTACATAGGCGGCATCCTGTCTGAGTGAGCTCATGTGGAGCGCTCTACATACAGTAAGCTGCAACACATTTATATTATACAGATACACGAAGACTCGATTCCAGCATTTGACACTGACATGTTACTGTAATGAAGTACACGGAGCATATAAACAGTGAGTATAATAGTGATCTACACTAGTGTTCAAACATTTGGGGAAAGTATCTTCTGCTTACCAAGGCTGCATTTATTTGATAAAAAAATACAGTAAAATTGGGAAACATTATTACAGTTTAAATTAGCTGTTATCTATGTGAATATCTGTTAAACTGTAATTTATTTCTGTGATGCGCAGCTGTATTTTCAGCATCATTACTCCAGTCTTCAGTGTCACATGATCTTCAGAAATCAGTATAATATGCTGATTTGCTGCTCGAGAAACATTTCTCATTATTATCAATGTTGAAAACAGTCTTGCTGCCCAATATTTTTGTGGAAACTGTGATGCATTTTATTTTTCAGGATTCACAGATTAATAGAAAGTTCAGAAGAACTGCATTTATCTGAAATTCAAATTCAAATTCAAAACCGTAAGACCTTCGTTCATCTTTGGAACACAAAGTAAGATATTTTTTATTAAATTTAATGCATCCTTGATGACTAAAAGTACTAATTTCGTGAACAACAAATGAAATCTTGACCTCAAACCTTTGAACGGTAGTGTCTCAAATGTTTCTCCTAAAAATAGAAATAAAAAAAGACATAATTGAGTCGCTAGCTGTCATCCAGTAAGAGTATAGAGCTCTAAAATTATTTGAGAGATTTAATAATGTTTGAGTTTAGTTTACAAGCTTTCAGTGTGTTTTCAACAAGCATGAGAAGTCTCATAATGAATAACATAATTGTTGTTGGGTTCTATTAATGAATAAATGTGGTATTTTGAGGATGTTATGCTGCTTCAGTGGCTTCACTGCAAGATGTTGAGCTTGTTTGAAAGTTCAGTGCTGATTTTCTGACACACACACACACACACACACACACACCCCTACACACACACACAAACACACACACACCTACACACACACCTACACACACACACACACACATCTACACCACACACACACACACACACCTGACTGTTTATCTGGCAGTGGTTCTCTTTGGCAGAGGAACCGGAACAACAGCACATTTCGAGGGCTTCTCTTCAAGAGTTTAATAGCTCTCTGCCGCCTGTGTGTGTGTGTGTGTGTGTGTGTGTGTAGAAGGATTATGAACACAAAGGTGCAGGTGTGAGTACCGCGAGCAGCACCCTCTACAGGATGCAGGTGCGAGAGCGGAGGATTATGGGTATTCTGTTATTGCTGAAGAGAGCAGAACTGGTGAGAAATCAGGTGGCGAGTGAACACACCCTCTAATCAGAATGATATTCTCCGTCTGGCCAGGTGGCTGCGGTTTGCTTGTTATTATTATTCATAACAGGTTCGATGTTTTCAGTGAAAATTACCTTTGGGAATCCGAGCACCTGGGTCACAGGAAAATGAGCTGCTCGCGCACCGGGACTCGCAGGGCCTCTGGATAAAAACGGCTGATAGAATTATTTCTAATTGTGTGTCTGCGTGTCCTGCTGAATGTGTTAATAGTATAGCTGGGATATGAATTCCTCATTATGGCGGGAATCACTGTTCTTGCTCCTCGGGAGAAGAAAAGCGCGTGACACGTTCCATGCGTCTTGAGATTAACGCTGACGTGCGTCTCGGTGAAGGTTGTTGTTGGTGATGTTAGTTTGTTAGTGCGGCTGTCAAAGTTCACACTTTCGTTTATGAGATAGATACGTTTAAAGCTGCAGTGCGTTGTTTCTGCATTAGTGGCATCAAATGGAATTGCGGAAATAATGACTGATTCCGAACAGGTTTTCCAAACATCTGCTATTGGCCAGACAAACAGATAGTCCCGCCCCCAACTCACACCATTGGATGAGCCAGAAACTTGCATATCAGTCCTCGTTTATGAGTAAATTAGAAGAAAACCTTCTTAATATATATTATGTATAAATCAAATATTCGTAGTGATTTGCACTCATAGTTGAATGTTACTTTCATCAAAGTTAAAGAAATGTCACTTATGAGCAATGACTCTCATAATGAATATGGTCGCAAAATGTAATTTGTAAATGGAAAAACTTGGTAATTTGTAAATGAAAAAGGGTGTGTACGCGCTCTTGCGTAGTTTACGTTAATGGGTGTGTTGATATCCAGTCGAAGAGCAATCAACCATAACTTCAGGCGAGCAGGCTCAGAAGTTGGGAATACGTGGAAAGTCACCACTCCCGAATGAGTTCGCACGAGAGAATGTAATCTTTTAGTTTTAAGTCGGTTTGAACAATCCGGATAAGCGCAAGTAAGTACCATTTTGATTAGCCGTCGTACCTACAATGCCTGAGCACTGTGTAAACAATGAGTGACATATACGCGCGAGAGATCACTTCCGGCGCTTGCGTAAACTACGCCAGAGCGCGTACACACCTCATGCACCGGATGCCGTGCGCGCGCTCAAAGACATAGTGGTGTATTAGAGGTAAAAAATGATATAAATACTGTTCGGTTTCTGGTACAAACCGATCGTTTCGTGTCTTAGGACATCAATGTGTCGTCACAAGCCGCAGGGTTTAATTTGGATTTGTCTGTGCATGTTTTTTTTACACTCATAAATTTTGTTACCATTGTCATGCATTATAAGACTGACAGACTGCAACGGCTGGAGTTAAAAATCATAATTTGTGTTCTACTGAAGAAACAAAGTCACCTACATCTTTGATGCCCTGTGGGTAAGCAGATAAACATCAAATTCTCATTTTTGGGTGAACTATCCCTTTAACATTAGTTTATTTATTAACATTAGAAAACAATGAGCTATATATATTGATTGATATCTTTATTTCAGACTCAAAAAGGTCCATATAAATATATCCTATATATATATACAATTTATTAATCTTTGTATTTGTATTAATGTTTAAGCTAATGTTAACAGATACAACTTTTGGTTTTAATTAGTAAATGTTGAAATTAAGATTAACAAAGATTAATAAATGCTGTAGATATATTATTTATTTAGTTTCTGTTAATTAATACAATTAACTAATGTTAGCAGAAATATTGCCAAGAAAATTTTCTTTTTTTTTTTGGTAGTGGCAAATTCAAAATTAAATACTGGTCATGTTAACTTCTAAAGCATTTCAGAAATGAATAAATTGAAAAATTGTGACTTCTTTTTTTTTTTAAGTCAATAAATGCTTGAAATTCTTTGTTTGAAGATATTAATTAACTAGGCTTAGCATAGAATTTTCAGACATGTATCGGATGTTATAAATTAAAGACAAATAATTTAATTTTAAGGCATTTCTTACCCCCATATTTTGAATTGTACACATTTTTTGTGGCATATTAATCAATAATAGTATCAATAATAATCACAATGAATTATTTGAATCAATTGACAGACTTGTTTTCTGACTAAGCATTGAGGAGAAATCTGCAGCTGATGTTTCACTCTTCGTACAGCGTTTGCTCTCATGTCTGTGTTTAGTGGAGGTCAGACTCTTTAAACGTTAATTGGCCCATTAGATCGTAGAGGCTCTTGTGTTACGAGCTCTTGACTGACAAAAGCCTCTCTGTGTGAGTGTGTGTGTGTGTGTGTGTTACCTGTGAGCCGAGGCTTTTATCAGTATTGTGAACTGCAGCAGGCTTTAGTCACCGACACACAGATCCTCTTACACATGATAAGAGCCTGCGCGCTCGTGTGTGTGTGTGTGTGTGTGTGTGTGTGTGTGTGTAACAGAGCAGGTGTAATGAGCTGTAAGAACCTGTGAGACACGGAAAGTGACAGAGAATTCCCTCAGGTGTCGCACGAGTGTGTGTGTGTGTGTGTGTGTGGTGGAGAGTGAGGGTGTGTGGGTGTGTGTGAGAGAGAGAGAGAGTGTGTGTGTGT